GGCCCACTGCTGACACTTCTGCAATCCAGAGAAACACTAAATAAAGCAATATGTGTTTGCCAACATTGGTCTCCTTGTGAATGTTAGGAAAGGGACAGGACCCCTAAAAGGTAGCCAAGGGTCTTGTATTTTAATTTTTACCCTGGTCCCAGAAGAAAGGAGGCAGGGCCAGGGAAAGAGCAGGTGTGACCAGTAGCTGCAGCTTTAGCTTGCTCTTTCATTGATGTCTCCGGAAGGGCAGCTCAGCCTGGCCCAGCGCTGTGGACTGGGGGAAAGGACACACAGTCCCTTGCCTATGGGCGTCAGCGCAGTGGGCAGGGCTGGCACAAAAACGCAGCTCAAATTTGTGGGAAGTACAGGTGCCAACGGGCAGAGACCCACAAGCGACTGACGGGGTATGTGTGTGTGTGTGTGTATGGTGGGGTGGGAGTGGGGGAGTGTAGGGATGTAAACACTTCAGAGAAGATGGCATTTGAGGTGGGTCTCAAAAGATAGTCTCCAAATTCTGTTGCAACTGACAAACCCAATCAGAATGGCTTGGGCAGAAAAGGACATTTTTTAGCATTCACGATGTAACAGCCCCAGGGTTGGGCTGATTCCAGGTATTCAGACAACATTGTCACAAATGTGTTGAACTACTTCTTTTCAGCCTTCCTTTGTGGTAGCTTCATTCTCAGGCAGGTTCTCACCTTGTGGTATGGTGGCGGCAACAGCCACCAGCAGCTTCGGGTTTTCATTCTATGAAGCTGGCATCGGAGGTGGAAAGAAAATGTGCCTCTTTCTGGTCGATTCTCAGTGGACCACCTTGAATGAGGTGGTCTTCCCTGACCCAAGCCCTGTAGTAGGAAGAAGGGCTTATTTTGATGTGTGCCTGCCAGGCCTGGGTCATGTACCTACCCCCATGCCCAAACAAGTGGCATGAACCACACCTGACTGCAAGGACCAAAAGTGGGGGCAGATAACTTCCCAAAAGAAAATCAGTGTTGCCTCCAGAAGAAAGGGGATAAGTGTTGCAAGCTGCTACCATAGAACTCAGCAGCTAAGAGTTTTCCCAAGTGGGAGGAGTGTTGCAAATAGAAGGAATGGCAGGCCTTCATGGCAAGAAAATGTGTAATTTGGGGTTAGGCTGCCTGCTGAATTTAGATTCATCACCTAGGGCAGAAGTTCTCCATGAATGAGATACCATATCTTGGGCTTGACAAAATCCTGGGAGCACACCTAGATTTTGACACCTCCCCCCAAATTAATTTACAGAAAAATGAAAGCACCACAATAATTTGTCCACTCTATCAGTAGTAACAGTGGCTCCAAGAAGCCAACAGATAAGATAAATCCCCGCGTTAGATGCAATTACCAGCTTTACAACTGGAACAACATTCCTTTCGCTAGCCAATTGGTATGCATGGGAGAGTGATGTCACAGACATAACCCAGATGCAACCGAGGACCCTGTCCTTTTGAGACGTAACCAAGAATGGTTGGCACCCCCAGCTCACGTACTGCCGGAAGTGCAGTGCCCTCCAAGAGATAGCTGCCAATTGTAGGAAGCTAATTTTGGCTCTCGACAAGAGCCTCCACCCGCTTTCCATTCATTCATTCCTTCATTTAACCAGCCAGGCTCCCTGAGACAGCCTTGATACGTGAGATATTGCAGGAACAAAAAAAAGAACAAAATCTCTGCTTTTATGGAGCTTATGTTCTAGAAAGGAAGAGAGGAGAATATAGAAAACAAACACGTAAAACATACAATGGATTGATTAGAAGGAGATAAGTGCTAGGAATATAAATAAAGCTGAGAATTGGGGAGAGGGAGAGTTGGGTGTGCAGTTTGCAGTTTCAAAGGGACTGGAGAGGGAAGGCCTCTGAGGGGGCTACCCTGGAACAGGACATGAAGCAGGGGAGGGAGTGACTGCAGATTTCCAGCAGAGGGAACAGCAAGTGCAAAGCTTGTTAAAGAAAGAGGAAGAAGGTCAATGGGGCCTGGAAAGGAATGAGCAGGGAGAGAAGATAGATGCTTTTGCATCTCACCTCCTTTAGATTTTCTTGATTTTTTCAGCTCCTTGAGGACTGAGTCAAGGAAGTTGGCACCTGCTCCTGGATTCCTCCGTGCAAAAGGCTTCTGTGTGACCAGCTCTCCTAAAGGATGGGGGCAACGAGGGGGGTTTACATTGCAGCGAAGCAGACAACTCATTCTCAACGTCCTACAGGATGTCGCCACTGGGAACATCTCACTGACCTTTCCGGGAAGGTCTGGCCTCCTGCCTTGGTTCCCAGCGCACTCTCCTCCTCTAGACTCTCGTTGGAGTCCTCTCACATTTCTCCCCAGAGCTTTCTCCTGGTGTCTGCCTCTAGATCTTATCTGTGCACATGTTAAGACTGGTTCTTGTCTTTGCAAAACTAAGGGCTACCCACTGGGGGGTGGGGCATCCGTCTTGTTCATAGTCTAGAAACTCCAGGGGAGACTTGGAAATTTCTCTGTCTCCTTTCTCTCTCTCCCTTGGGGCCCATATGTAAATGAGAACAGGGCAGAAGCGTATTTTCCCACTAATACAAACTGTGTCTATACACACTTACCCACTTTTCTCTCTTTTNAGAGGCTGCCCAGAGCTCTGGGTTGATAAGGCTGTAGCTTCAGTCTGATCGATTGGTAGTGTCTGCCATGGTTCCAGAGACAGACATTGGTAGCCAATGTGCCTTGTATTTGCCAACTCAGGATAGGGTGATGCTAAAGGACCCATCCAGCTCAGATAACCTGTAGAAGTTTTGAGTATTACAATCAGCTAGCTTCAAGATTCCATGTTGAAGCTGAACCTGCGGGACTGCAGGGCCTGATATGAGGGGAATTATCCCCCAAATTGGGCCTGGACCCTGATAATGCTGTCATGACCCTTCCAGGGAGCCCTCTCCCTTGGTTGGTAGAGCCGGGGGCGAGGTAGAGGAGGCGCTGATGGGAGTGTTGGTGGCAGGGCTCAGCCTCCTGGTGTTGGGGGCAGAGAGGGTGAAGGAAGCTGCCTCAGCTTCTGAAGCTGGCATGGCCACCCCCCATCATGATGGTCCCCACCCTCTGACACTCCTCCCCGCCCTTGTCTCCTCAGCTGCATCAGAAAGCCGTGGCTAGTGAGATCTTCAAGGGCAAAAAGGACAATTATCCCCAAAGCGTCCCCAGGCTCTTCATCAACACACGGCTTGGTGAGATCTTGACTTTCCAGTGATCAAACCCCCCATCACCATCCTAGGCCCCTCTTTCCTCCTCTGATTTCCCTCTCCCTGATCTGGGTTGCAGGTGCAGACGAGATCAGCCCCAAAGTGCTGCAGGTGCTAGGCACTGAGCCCATCCAGGTGAGACCCTGCCTGCCACCCTTAGTCCAGCATGGTTCTGCTGCCCAAGGGCTGGATGGGGGTCTCAGGGCCTGGACAGAGGGTGAGGGGGGTTATCCCTGGAGCCCCCTCAGCAGCTCCCCTGCCCCTCACTCCATCCTCTGTCCCCAGTATGCTGTGCCTGTAGTGAAATACGACCGCAAAGGCTACAAGCCCCGCTCCCGGCAGCTGCTGCTGACGGCCAGTGCTGTGGTCATCGTGGAGGATGCCAAAATCAAGCAGAGGATTGATTACACCAACCTGACCGGTGAGCCAGAGTCCAGGGCTACACAGGGAGGGCCCCTGCTCTGACCCTTGAACCCTGACCTCTGCCCTTCCCCCTCAGGGATCTCCGTCAGCAGCCTGAGCGACAACCTCTTTGTGCTGCATGTGCAGCGTGAGGACAACAAACAGAAGGTACCCATTTGGCGGCTGGGAGACAGGGTGGGGCTGGCTTCTCCAGCTCTGGGCAGAGCCTGACCCCTCCCCCTCCCCTTGCCTGGGTCTCCCAGGGGGATGTGGTGCTGCAGAGTGATCACGTGATTGAAACACTGACCAAGACCGCCCTCAGTGCTGACCGTGTGAATAATATAAACATCAACCAGGGCAGGTGAGGCAAGTAGGGGGAGTGAGGGGCCGTGTGCACACACGTGGGCAGGCCTCACACACCCCCTGCCTTCCAGCATCACGTTTGCAGGGGGCCCTGGCAGGGACGGCATTATCGACTTCACATCTGGCTCGGAGCTGCTCATTACCAAGGCCAAGAACGGGCACCTGGCTGTGGTAAGTGGGGACCTGGCAGGCAACACCTACTTCCCTGCGGATGGTCCTAGGATTAGGGTGGAGCCTCTGGTGGCCAAGGCTTCCTTAGCGCTGCTTGGGTACCATTCTACTCCCTTCATCCCATTGCTCATTGAGGCTCTGGAGGGAGGAGCCATTTGAACCCCCACAATGCAGAGGGTCATAAAGATGGCAGCATGGGGAGGTGGGGCAGACCTAGAGGGGTTAGGGGGGTGTGCTGGGTGGGAGGAGGGGCCCACTCTGGCTAGGGCAGGGAGTCCCATGGGAGTAGGAGCAGAGTCTCCAGGACCAGGCTGCTACTGCATGTATCTAACCCGTGAAGACAAGTGCCCAGTGCACCTGTCAGCTTCCTGCTCACCACTTGGACTTCTCCCTCTGCTCCTACAGGTGGCCCCACGGCTGAACTCTCGGTGATGAAGGCACCCACTGGACCCTCCCACCTCCCATTGCTTTGCTTATCCTCTCTTACCCTTCTCAGTTACCAAAGACTCGAGCTTCCAGACAGGGACCCAGGGACACCTCGAAGCCCACCGACAAACTCCTGCCTCCTGCTCGTCCCTCTCTTGAGGGAGCCGCGGGGGCCAGGGAGCTGCCACAGGAGCGGGCCAGGCCGGGCCACAGCAATAGGAAAGCCGGGGCCAGAGGCAGCTCTGCCAGCCCCATTGCCAATGCCAAATATTTGAGAGAAGGGAACTTTTGCTGAGGTTTTCTCTGAGATTTTTTTGATGCTTTATAGGAAACTATTTTTAAAAAAAAGCCATTTTCCACCCCAAGACACACTGGATGTGTTTTCCCTGACTCCAGCAGGACGGGGAATGTAGCTCAGAGGTTGGGTGGTCTGGGCCCTGGTGCCCTCTTCC